TTTTTGATTTCTTGATAAAACTATAGTGATAGATACATTTATAGGCTCCAACTCTAGAGAATCTCAATAGTAAATGGTAACTAAATAATTAATAATCCTAATTATAGAAGGTAACTAAATAAACTAGGAAACTAATTAATCACCTAACAAATATAATATTTCCTAACAATAGTTAACTAACTATAAATAATTCCTTACCATAATAATAATAATAATAATAATAATAATAATAATAATAATAATAATAATAATAATAATAATCCCGTAACACTCTCCCCGCCTCAAAAACCAACTTGTCCTCAAGTTGGAAATCTACAAAAAAACGAGGAATCATGCGTTGTGAACGAACATCCTCCAGGGTCAAAGACATTTATGAATGGAGAATCAAAAGATTCGGCCAAGCTCAAAGCATTCACAACTCCTAGCAAACAACTCCAGAGAACCAATGAGAAGAAAATCTTGCCTGCACGCGTGACATCCCTAGAATCATAAAGGACAACAATGTCACTTTCTGACATCCCAAATGTTTCCGTGCATCCATAAAAAATAATACCATCGCTTGAATATTTTGCTTGGATAGTGGGGTCTCGTTGATCGTCACCAGAAACATCAACAACAACATCAACAACGGCAACAGGAACAACATCTATGTGATCTATCATAAGATCATCATCAGGAACACCAACAGGATCAATAAAAATTTCCTTTTTAAATTCCTGGTCCTGCAAAGTTGTGTTTTGCACAGGTACAGGAAGGGCCGAATCTCGTGGAGTGCCGATAAGTTTCTTAATAGAGCGCATCATGGTTGTTTTGAAAATGTATAACTCTATAGGAATCAGGCTTGGCATAATTGGGAGGCCACGAATTAAATCTTGTATTAAGCAAAAGGCCTCTATGGAGAACGCATATACCTCGGAATAATATTTTGAAAGACCTCCAATTGGACGGAATGCCTGAAGTTTCTTTATAATTTCATCCACGGAATCTTCAACTGCACACACGCCTTCATAAAATTCAATTTGTCCCCGTAGAACTTTCTCGAGTAAACCAAGAACTTTGTCCAACAGAGAATCCATTGCGTGTGTCGTAGATTTTTTTTTTGTATCTTTTTTGGGCGAGTTCAAGAATGAAAGCACCAATTGATACGGTTTCGTATCGAGATAGGGAAGGATTTCGAGCACCTTCGAGCTCCAAGAACAAAAGAGGCGAGAAAGAGAGAGATTAAGGTTTTGGAGAAAGTATTTTCTTTTTTTGATTTCTTGATAAAACTATAGTGATAGATACATTTATACGCTTCAACTCTAGAGAATCTCAATAGTAAATGGTAACTAAATAATTAATAATCCTAATTATAGAAGGTAACTAAATAAACTAGGAAACTAATTAATCACCTAACAAATATAATATTTCCTAACAATAGTTAACTAACTATAAATAATTCCTTACCATAATAATAATAATAACAATAATAATAATAATAATCCCGTAACAAACTGTCGACACGAATAGCTCAAAGTCGATTGGACGGTAGTAATCGATTCCAACAAAAGATTACAGGAATATTCCAACATCCTCAGCTGGGCGCTACACGCCAACGGAGGTGTCATCAACACAAGATAACAAGGAAATAGGACAAAGCGCTACATGACAAAAGGAAGTCTCCTCGCGCCGTCTATAAACGTGAGCTGATTTTAGACGTGTGGCGCTCTGTCCTCTCCATTTCCAATACCTTTGTAACCCTCAAATGAAGGGTTCGGAATTATGTCAACAACAAAAACATACACGTGTGGTGCAATAAGCTTGTACGTAGTACCCCTTGAACGCCATATAAATTTTACAATCCATTAAAAATACAATGATTACCCTCTTCCCGTATTATTTCAAAAATTTTGTCAACGCAAAAAAAAAAAACATTAGCGATTTTTACTCAATTTTTTGCTTTCTTTTTAAATATAAAATCATTTAAGTCCATGAAAGTATTGTGGTCAATACATAATGTTTTATAAAAACACAAAGAGTTACAAATTGTAAATTACATTTTTCTTTGATATGATGTTGTAATTGAGTCTAAATCTTATTCACTTCTGCACATTAGTTCGTCCCCATACTTCTTCTTAAATTATTGATTTTCCATACACTTAGATTTTAATTGTCACAGACCTTCGCATGTTTCTCGGTCTCCATACCTTAATTTTCCTTATAGAAATCTTCTTTGTGAAAGTGCATGTTATATCTCTCCGTCTCTAAGAATATCATTTTGTTGAATTTCTTTGCATGAATGCGAAAACGAAAAAAAAAGAAGTTGAGTCACACTCCATTTTTATTTTCATATATAGATATAGTGAATTATCATCCAACATAAATTTATAAGTGCTAAGTTACATCTTAAAAAATGGTAAGTTACAGTGTAAACTTACTTTGATTAAAATAATAAGTCAAATTACCAAGATAAAGTGTAAAAGTCAAATTGAATATTCCTTCTAATTAATTTGGTTTAAACACTTGATCATTTAAAAAAACTAATCTAGTTATCTCTTAATTTATAGATTTTTAATATAGGGATTAAAAACTATTTTTTATTTTTACATCTATATATAAATAAATAGAATAAAACTAACGTCACTTAATCATATCATAAACAATTATGAAATTTAGTTAGAGATGAAGAGAGTAGCTTATATATTCATTCAAAGTATTACTATAAATGAAATGAAACAATAAAAACAGAAAAGTAATATTCTAATGAAAATAAATATCTCTATTCTTTAATTAAATGTACTCAAAGACAGTAAAATCATAAATAATGTTAGTATAATATAATAAGTCACATGGATATATTTTATTTTGATCATTTTTATTTTATAATACAATTAAAATTAGGGTTATATACGTTTTTTTGTTAAAATGATCCCTACAAAATATTTTATTTTAAAAATAGCCTTAAACATAATAAGAATTTCTAATTAGATGAGATAGTATATTTACTTAATACTCAAAGTCTTAGTCTTGCATTCCTAATTACGTCCAAAACAATCACCGAATCCTAAATTGTGAATTTATTCATATTACATATGTCCAGTTCTCAAATTCTTTACGAATATAATATAATAAAAATTTGAGAATTGGAAATGTAATATGATAAAGGACGCAATTATTGGCATCAAAATTGTGTCTGGAATAATTCAAAATCTAAAACTAAGCTATTGAGTACAAAATAAATGTGCTATGTTAACAAATTAAAAGTCTTAATTATGTATAAGGATCATTATCAAAATAAAAAAATTTGTAAGGATGATTTAAAGAAAAAATATTTTTCAAGGACCAAAAATAAAACTCACATGTTTTTAAGGGAATAAAAATATATTTAACCCTTAAAAATATCATAATAAATAATAAAAAATAATATATTTGTAAATTAAATCATAAATAATTTAAGAACTATTAGCCATAAGTTGTCTAGTAATCATATCAAACTATAAAAATAATATAATTAAATTACCAAATAATATCTAGGATGTTTTACCTGTTTTAACAATTTATAGTCTAATCATCTCATGTTTTATAAACTTTTATTGTAGTTTTAAAATAAGTTTTTATTTATTAACTTACATCAATTTTTAAATAAATAAAATCAAATCTGATTACTTCAATAATAGAAAATATAAAATTTATTTCGAAGTGAAGAAGTATCTTATTAATTAATTACTTATAAGTTTTGTTATAACTGAATAGAAAAATATGCACAATTATTTCATACTATACTTTTAATTACTTACTTTCCATATTATAATTTATAAGTACTTGTGTCAGTTGTACGGAAATATTTATTTACTTAGAAGTTTTGAGACTATTTTGAACATATTGCATCCATATTTATGAGAAATATTTTAAACATAAGTGCATCATTATTAAAATTTTATTTTAAAATAAATAAGGAAGGTCGATTCACTATTGATAAAATTTGCCACATAAGTAACGAATAAAGGCCTGCCATTATCACTTTAATATAGGCAATTAGGCACATAGGCTTGACACATGACGACTTTCTCGTAAAAGGAGTCTCAAATATTATATTAAAGGATTTAGACAAATTTCTTATGTCTGAATCCTATTGGACAAATTCTTTTGCTCTATCTCTTCGATTACGAAGGTGGTGGAATTATTAGAGTTTGGTTGGGAAAAATTGAAGCAAAATTGATGTATCCTCAATTGCTAAGGATACATCAAGTTGCACACCAACTTACACATCACTCTTTCTCCACCATACATTTTCATGCATTCTCTAATTTTCTGATCCACGCAAAGAAATATACCATAGAGATGAGTGATGCGCAAGTTGATGTATAACTTGGTTAATTGGTCATTTAATATTGAAAACATTCTATATTTAATCTTTTATTATCTAATATTATGTGTGTGGTTCTTCATTTACGAGTATCTTTGTACGCATAGTATTTTGTTTGAATTTCTGTCATGTCGGTGTAAAATTATTAGCTAAAAGTATAATTTTACATTAATTTTAGGTTTGACGCTTGACGAAGAACACAACAATACCCATGACTCAAGACTTGAATTCTGACATGTGATGAAAGATATGGACTATAGTTGTGACTTGCAGTGGGCAGCTACTCTAAACCACAAATGGTACATCAGCAGTGTCCCCCAACGTTGATATGTAAAGAGGATGTGAAACCCAAGTGAAATTAGTACTATTTCTGTCCCTCAGTATTTGTCTAGTATTTCTTTTTTAATCGTCTCACAATATTTGTCCACTTTTCTTATTTAGCAAAATAAATAAATTTAAATCCCCACTCTACCCTTCCAAATCGTTACCTTTAACACTTACTCCCACCGTCCATTATTTATCTTCTCCCACCCACCCCCATTTATACTTCCCCACTCACCTTGTTCCCAACATCTTCTCACTCCATTGTTTCCATCTAGAATACTCTGCCTCAATCTCCGTCTCTTCTGCTTTTCTTCGTCTAGATTACATTAGCTAACACTTCTCAAAACTCTAGATCTTAATTGGATGGGAATTGAGTCTGTTTCATTCTCTATTTTTTTAAAATTTGAATCCTTAATCCTTGAAATTTAGTTTGGAGATAAGATAAGCTTTGATGATGATAGATTGACTATCTTCAAACCATACAAGTCACCCTTCATTGGTAGGGATCGAAAATTTTGTGTCTCTACCATTGAAGAACATCATGAAGCCGGATAAGTGATTGTTCCTGATGAAGATGGGGACGGGGTGATGAGGAGAAGACTGTTCTAGAGTCTGAAGATTCAAAAATTATTCTTCCGAAGTTTAAACATGCTCAGATTATTGTTCCGGTTTGAGATGGAGGCGATAATGAGAACCTTGATGTTCTTGGAAATTTGCAGTTGGAGACTATAATGAAAATTTTCACATTTCTGAGTCTCTATATTAGAAGAGATTTTTTTATATTTATTTTTTGATTTAAGTTTAAATCTTTTTTCATTGGTTGATGGGATTATATCATTGCAAAAAGCAATAGCTGTATAGGTTTTTTACTCCGTATTACTTTTTGGCTGTTCACGAAGACTCCTATACTTTTCCTTACTCTAAGGGTATTCTTGACATTTGTCTACTTTAATATTTAAAAAGTTTCCTTCGATAGGACTAAAAAAGTATGAAAATATCAGAATAGGAGTTTCAAGTCTTTTAAGACAAATAAGAATATAATGACAGTGTAAGGTAGGAGTATGCACTGCAGTGTGATAGAAAAACAATGACAGAGTAATACTCCCTCTATCCCAAAATATTTGTCACACTTGTTTTTTCAGCAGTCGCGAGAACTTTTATTTATTTCTACGTTTTCATTGGTTATTTGATAAAATAAAATATTCTTAACAGCTCTTATTTCGAAGAACTTTTTTGATATGTATATTTAATTTTTTATTTTTATACCAATATGTAAATAAAATGAATTGAAAAAACTCGATATTTTACCTCGAAAATACAAATGTGACAAATATTTAGGGACGAAGGGAATATATTAGTATGATTAGTCAATTATAGGTGTCGACACTATGATAGTGTTGCAGTAATAGTATGATAATTAGAATGTAAGATTGTGGTGTATGTGGTAGTGTAATAATAATAATGTGAACTCTTATTTTTGACTGATTTATGACTCATATTTTAGTATTTTTATTTATATTTTCTAATGGAATAAGAATGGAAGGGATTTGATAATAGAACAATTCCCGATTAGAGAATTTCTCCTTTTCTAAAGTTAGAGAGATGGCGGCGGCAGCGAATGACTGGGAAAGTGGTGGTGGAGCGGTGGGCGCACCGAAGATCGTATGGAACGAGGGAACGCGGAGGTTCGAGACGGAGGACAAGGAGGCTTATCTGGAGTACGAGCTGAAGCACGGCGGCAGAACCATGGACATTCTCCACACCTACGTTCCGCCCAGCAAGCGCGGCCTCGGCATCGCCGCTCTTCTCTCTGAATCCGCCTTTTCTCACGCCAAGGCTCATTCGCTCGCCGTAATTCCGTCGTGCTCCTATATCTCCGATACCTTTCTTCCTCGGAACCCTTCCTGGAATTCCGTCCTGTACAGACAAGATATCAGATCGCAGATCTGAGGCGCAAATCTGTCAAGGTTTTTCTTTCTCTCTCTCTATTTTTATTTTTTGTGAATAAATTTTAATCTTTCATCATGTAAAGTAGGAAAAAACTGATGAGATATCTCAAAATTATCCCAATTGGAGTATTAGGTATTGCTTTCTTATTGACAATAGCCCCTGTTAGGATAGAAATTGGGGAAATTGATGATGTTTTGTGTTGGTAAATTTGGTTTTTGAGTTACCAAACATTTCAGGTGTCATGGTCTTATCCTGCATTCCCACGCTAAACTCTACTATTGGTCCTTTAACTTTATGAGTTGTGTACGATTGATCCTTCAAGTTTCAAAAGTCCATAAATAATCTTTCAACTTTATGAGTTATGCACGATTGGTTCTTCAAGTTTCAAAAGTCCATAAATAGTCCTTCAAGTACACGTCAGCCCTCCAGATGAGGTCCTTTTGACGGTAAACGTTAAAAGCTAAATGGAGTACTAGCTCCATATAATATAGAGTAGTCGTACATAGTAAAATTTACTTGTATTAGATGGAACTAGTATTCTACTTGGCTTTTAATGTTTACTGTAAGAAAGACCTCATCTATAGGGTTGACGTGTACTTGAAGGACTACTTATGGACTTTTGAAATTTGAAGGACCAATCGTTCATAACTCATATCAAATTTTTATGGTAGGCGGGGTAGCCTGCCGAAGAAAATGTCACAAAGGCGTGGCGAAGGAAGCGGTGGAAAGGTGCAGAGTAATGACATTTTGGGAAAGTCAACACACATTACATTAAAACACGTGTCGAGTCAAAACGAGAAGAAACTTATGGGACATAGGGAGTAACATATTTTACCTGCTTCATAAGCTCACACTTTTACCAAATTTTCACACTTATTTTAGTCCAAACAACTACTCCCCTTGTCCCGGTCTTTTTTTCCAGTTTCTCTTATGAACAAATTCCAAAGTGAGGAAATAACAAAAGCAAAATGTCACATTTGCCCCTCTTGATATTTCCCTTAACTAGCTAGCTCCTCCTCATATCTCTGCCACACCTTTCCATCGCCACACCCCCACCTCCGATCCATAACAATGTCCACCCTTCCCATTACCGCCGTGCCTCACCAACATTATTCCCTATCACCTTCCTTCCCCAACTCCATCGCCTCTTCCCAACACCATACATCTGGCGTTTAGCCTCCCACCCCATTCATGCATAACATACCGTAACAATTGGAGGGCGTCATACTTTCATCATCCCAATGGAGAAGACATCTGAGATAAGAGGCTTGAAACATCTTAGATCTAGGGTTTGGAAGGGAATATGAAGTGGATGGAATGAGATCAGAGTTCTTTTCTGCTTTGGTCAGTAATGGAGCGCAAATGAGGGTTGGGATTTTGCGCTGGCACGTTCGAACTACAAACGAAGAAAGGAACCCAATTTTGCGCTGGCATACAAATTTACAGAGGTTGCGACGGTCAATTGGAGGAACGGTGGACGGATTCAAACTTCAAAGTCCACAAACCACAATCTAAGCTTTGAGTCCCCCAGCCAATTAATTGAGTTAGGTTTAACCATATTTTAGGTCATCAATCCTCAATCTGCATGGATATAGACTTGTAGTTTAGCAATAGCACACTTCGCTCTTAAATTTTTTTGACTCATGAGTCGAGTTAGTAACATACGACACACGTAATACGAGAATTCATACATATGTGTACTATGTTAATAATTTTTAAAATACGGTTTACTATATGTTTTTAACTTTCAGCAAATGTATACGTAGACGTACATGTGTTATATGGTTCTTAAACATAAAATACGTCTTATAATACGCATTTATACATTCACATCTTCCAATATAATTCGCATTTATATATTCACATTTTTTGATAACTTATATATTCGCATTTATATATTCAAAAATATGCAAACAAGGGATCAACAACAAACAAAGTCTTCATAAAATAAATGTTCGGAGTCGAAAGTAAGATTACATGTGTTCAATGTACATCAACATGAAAAAATACTCTAAAATACCAAACTTAGCGAAAACATCATCGTCGATAAAAGTCACACGAAATTTAGAAAGTCTAGCATTAGTTATATCACTATTAATTAGAAGACCATCAAGTGATTTCTCACGAGTCTTGTGTGTTCATTCCCATTTAAAATATGGTAACGTGATTCAACATCTTCATAATTAAGTCATTTCGTCAATTTGCTCAAATAAATTGGATCATTATCTTTAAATACATTTTCTTCAACATTTTGCATCATAAGTGTGTTCATCTTACAATACACAAGTAGACCTAGCATTTCTAGAGTGAGTCGATTCATTTTCTATGTTTGACCGGCTTCAAAGGTACTCACGTTCACATGTAGATTAACTACAATGCTGACTCAAGAGACGAATGACATATTTTGAAAATATTGGTTTAGGGTCACCAACAAAAATTCCCACAATATACCTTGCATTAAAAGAATATAGAATGAAAAAATGATTATAATTTAAATGTACTTAAAAGGTACACAAACATTGAAAATGTAAGCGAAAATGATCACTTACAAGGATGATATATGTTCATCATACTATATGTGGCATCGTTGAAAAGAGATGAATGCTTCATAATGTAATCTCAAATCTCAATATTGCGTTGAAAGCTCATTCCTATCAATACCTTGTACTACTTTTTCAATCAAGAAAAACATGTCTATTTTCATCTCCACGGTTTGCTTAAAGTGTAAACTACTCGTGAATGATGGATCAAGAGTAGCAAGACTAGCAAAACATGCAGTAATAGGATGACTGATATTCTCATTCCTTCTCATCTCAAATATTGTCATCATTTTTCATATTTATCTCTATTTTTTCCCACCCTTTTCTTGAAGTCATCCTTCGCCAACTCTATTGCTTGGAATAAATATTCAGCTATGGATCCATCACAATCAACTGAGATATTAATCTATACTAATGGTTCTAAAGATTGTATCTATTCCTTTGCTTGAGACCAGAAGCTATTGTTATGAATGAGCCTAGTCATATTCTTAGCTTCTCGTGACTTAGAATAAGACAAATCCTTCCATTTCGAAAAAGCCACAAAAAATCTCAATTCATTTTTAAGAGCAAGTGAAGACTACACTGCAAGAAAATTAGAAGCAAATCGAGTAACGCATGTCTTTTTCAATTCTCATCCATTTGTAACCTTTCTCATCAAAGCCGTGATAATAATATGTCGATACATATATGTTTGAATAGATTTAACATCATCAATAATACTATGTATACACGAAATTAGATCATATATACTTTTAAAAAGTAATTGAATCTCACGTGTTGCAACCCTGGCGTTGCAAATCGTAGTGTGCTATTACGTAAATATATTGCGAGTAGAAACAAAGTTTGAACCATTATGAGTGATGAATTGAACTACATGTTGAGGTCACAACATGTCAATGACTTTAGAGAACAAGTGATTAAAAAATAGTCTCGTTTTCTTTTTTCTGAAATCTCAATTGATTTGAGAAAAACTGAATGTTTAGGACAACATGCAATAAAAAATTTCGTAAAACATCTTTCTCTAAGATCAATCCAAGTATCAGACATTATAGGACAACCATATACTTCCCATGATTTTTAACATCTTCTACATATTCATCAATTATTTTTAAATTGTTGCTGGTACCCCTAGTTTTGTGGTAAGAACCCACGGTATCATTGTTTTTTCGAAATATACTCTGGGGTACCTTAAAATATCCGATAACTCACCCCGGAGGGACTTTTCATCGACTCATTTGACAACAAAGTCCTTTTGATATCTTCTTCTTCTTATTCTTCATTCTTCTACTTTAACAAAAAAGAGGAAGAGGATGAATTCAACGGAGCATATTATTATTTATAGTGTTACGATCATTTGATTTTTATATTCGCAAGTTTTCTATTCTACATTGATTTGTGCATCTAAAAATTTTTGAACTGGAAATTGTCTTTTGAAAAACAATGAGACTTGAGAGTTCTTACCACAAAACTGAGAATACCCGACAACAACTTTTTGCTTTTCTTGCTCTTGGAAATTGGAATGAGTTTGGTCCGTAACGTTGGGTAACGTGGCAATTTATACGCGGCACCATACTTCGGAATTCCTTGAACAATCAATAAATAGTATTTGTTGTAAAACATTGAATGTAATATTATTTTGAATGGAAAATGTAGCAAGCAAGTCATCTACATCATTCTTGTTCGTTTTGTAACTATTTCAACTATGGTAGCTTGATACAATGAAGGGTGGTAAGGCATACCTCCCTTAGCATTTGCGGAGCTTGAAGACCCACTAGAACCAACTCGTTTGATATTTGCAACACTAGATTCAACTTTTAACCTTTTAGAGTTTGTGCTAAGATTTTCACAGACTTGAGATTTTTATTTCTTAAAAACTTGTGTGAGGATGTCAATTTCATTACCTCTCAATCCAGACAAGTGAAACTTTATTTTAGTTAAGACCACCAGACAATACTCATTTGCAGTATTTCTATTCAAATTTTCTTTTCATATCCTTAGCATATACCTAAGTGGCTCCGATCTAACCATGAATCTACAAAACAAAACAAATAATTTCAAGTTACTAGAATTACTCAAATAATATCACAAGAAAGTTTGGTTGCTCACATGTTTTTCTATGTATTCACATATACAAATATAGATGGTTCATTGATAAATTAATTCAATTTTTAGAAGTTGCAAAAAATCTGAATCACATTTTATGTGATTCAAATTTTTTTGCACAAACTTCTAAAACCTTGATTAATTTTTTATTGAATCATTTATATTTGTATTTGTAAATACATAGAAAAACATTTAGGCAATCAAACATGTGTTTGCATTGTATTTGAGTATTTCCTAGTAACTTGATATTATTTGTTTGTAGAATCATGATTAGAAAAAAAGATCCACTTTGGATACATGGTGAGCATATGCATGAAAAATTGGATGCAAGTATTGCAAACGAGTATTTTTTGATATTCTAACTAGAGTGAAGTTTTTTTTATTAGAGTGAAGTTTCACTTGTCTAGATTAAGATGTAATGAAATTGACATCTGCACACAAGTTTTTGAAAACTAACTATTTGAAGTGTTTGAAAGCCAGCACAACCTCTAAAAGACTAAGAGTTGAATCTAGTGCTACATATTTCAGAGGAGGCGATTCTAGTGGGCCTTCTAGCTCCGTAAATACCAAGGGAAGTATGTCTTACCACTCTGCATTGTATGAGGCATGGAACAATGCCAGAAATAACTAAAAATGGACAATGTAGATGACTTGCTACATTTTTTTTCAAAATAATATTGCATTCAATGTTATACAGCAAAAATCATTCATAATCATTCATTGATCTTGTCAAAGGAATTGTGGAATATGGCCCCACTTATAAATTGCAAAGTTACTCAACTTTACGGGCTAAATTTATTTTAAGAGCAAAAAATAGAGTTGATGAATATGTTGAAGATGTTAAGAAATCGTGGGAATTATCTAGTTATTCTATCATGTGTGATACTTTGGACTGTTCTTAAAAGAAGATGTTTTATTAATTTTATTGCATATTATTTTAAAGGTTTTGTTTTTCTAAAATCAGTTGAGATTTCCGAAGAAAAGAAAATAAGATTACTTTTAATCATTTGTTCTCCAAAGTCATTGACATGGTGAGACCTCAACATGTCAATTCATCATTGATACTGGTTCAAACTTTGTTTTTGACAATATGCTTGTGCATACATTGCAATTTGCAACACTGGGGTTGCAATACATGAGATTCAATTGCTTTATAAGGATATGTATGATCAGATTTCATGGATACAGAGTGTTGTTGATAGTGTTCTATTGAAGCATATATGTATAGACATACTACTATCACTGTTTTGATGAGAAAGGTTACAAATGGAAGAGAATTGAAAAACCATACGCTACTAGATTTGTTTCTAATTGTTTTGTCCTACAGTCCTTACTTGCTCTTGAAAATGAATTGAGATTGCTCGCGGCATATTCGGAACGAAGATATTTTTCTTATTCTAAGTCACAAGAAGCTAATAATGTGACATAGCTCATTTAGAACAATAGGTTTTGGTCTAAGGCAAGGAAATTGATACAAGCTTTAGAACCATTAGTTCAAATTCTTTGCTTAGTTCATGGTGATGGGTGTGCAGCCAGTTATTTATACCAAACAATAGAATTTGCAGAAGCTGATCTCAAGAAAATATTGGAAAAAGTATTGATAAATATGAGAAAATGTTGACATTATTTGAGGTGAGAATTAATGAGAATATCATCTATCCTATCTATGGATTTGTTGCTACTCTCGATCCATCATTAATGAGTAGTTTGAACATTAAGCAAACAGTGGAGAAGAAAACAAGTATGTTTTCCTTAGTTGAAAAGGTTGTGTAGTCTTTTCACAGGAATAAGTTCTCAATGCAATATCGAGATTATATTATAAAGTGTTTTCTCTTTTTAATGATGTCACATAATTTAATGAACATACATCATCCGTGTAAGTGATTATCTTTATTTACATTTTCAATGTGATAGTGTACCTTTTATGTGCATTTAAATTATAATCATTTTTATTTTATATTTTTTATGCAGGATATATGGTGAGAATTTTGTGGTGACTTTCAACCAATATTTTAAAAGTATGTCATTTGTCTTTTGAGTCACGATTGTAGGTTATGTGTCTGTGAATTTAATTAGTTTTTTTGAAGCTGCTCAAAGTCTCAAACAATGAAAAAGAATTGACTCACTCGAGAAATTTAAGCCTGCTTGTGTATTGTAAGATGAACACAATTGATGGAATGACCTCATTATGAACACAATGTTGAAGAAAGGGTATTTAAAGATGCTGATCCAATCGATTTGAGCAAATTGGCAGAATGGCCTGATTTGGAAGATGTCGAATCATGATGTCCTATGTGAAATGGGAATGAAAACGCCGAGACTCTTGAGAAATCACTTGATGATCTTCCAATTGATAATGATATAACTTTTCATTTGATAATGATATAATTGATGCTGGATTTTGGGTATTTTGTGACTTGTATTGATGATAATGTTTTTGCTATGTACACTTGTAATCTTACTTTCGACTCCAAATAATTACTTTATGAAGACTTTGTGGTTGACATGAATTTGGTTGTATTGTATCACTCATTATGTTTATTGATCCCTTGTTTGCATATTTGTGAATATATAAATGCGTATTGTAAGATGTATTTTATGTTCAGGAACTGTTTAACACGCGTACGCCTACGTATATGTATGCCAAACATTTAAAAGATATAGTTAGGTGTATTTTATAAATTATTAACGTATTATACAGGTACGTACAAATAAATGTACCAAAATTATTGACGTATTATACCAAAATACATATTGTCATATTATACGTGTGCTGTATATTACTAACTAGGCTTGGGCTTGGTCCCCAATCCTTGCATTTATGGTTTTTGAATGAGGGATTTGCTTGAAGTATTGGCTATTTGTAATTCACGCTTTATTTTAATGCATGATAAAAAAAGTTGATACTTTTAAAGTTTTTATTACTTGTTTCATTTGTCATCAAGTTGAGATTATGGACAACTTGAGGGAGTTAGTGCCTTATTGGGAGTATATATTGTTATACATACTCACTGGCCGGCTAAACTTTTGTACTGTATGCTAATAATATTTATATTTACACAAAGATAAATATGGAGTATTACTCTTTTCGTCATGTAAAAAATTTCATTCGGAAAAAGACCAAAATAGGACCAAATAACATAGCAAGGATAATGAAATAAGACCTTCATATTTTTTTAGGATCTATAATGCCAAAAATACCAACATATAATACCAAAATACTTTGAATGCTAATATACAATGTCATATTGTCACACTCAATCGTCTTATTTTGGGATATTAACATAGAAGTCCTATTTTGGGATAAGGCCTATGTTTCTTAATTTCATTGTCTAACTACCTGGCGTTTAAGACAAATATTAAGAAGTAAAAGAGGTGTGGTTGTAAATAGTTTTGAAGAGAGAATATTGAAACCACATGCTCCCTCCGTCCTACTATTTTTAACCATTTTTACATTTTTCGCGTGTCCACTAATTTTGTCTCATACCATATTTATCATATTTGTGTGTTTTGCATTCATTCAACCATATAATATTACTTTTCTTAATCCTCGTGTCACTTTCTCATGTCCCAAAATAGTGACACGGAGGGAGTATTATTTTTTTCATTTAAAAGAAAATAGGAGAAGTATGAAGTTTGTTTGAGACATCTAAATAAGAAAAGTGTGAAACTCTTTATGCAATGGGGTCAGTATAAAATATGATAATTTAGCTACGTTTCAAATTAAATCTGATGATTTTAAGTTCATTCATAACTCAATGTATTTTTTTTCGCATATTATGATCAAAATTTAAAAAACTCTGAACAAAGTCAAATAAAAAAAATCCATTTTAGGACTACAGGGAGTATAAAGCAAAACATGCTATAAAGTTTGAAATCTTTGGAGAATGGAGACATAATCATTCCATGGTCTAGTTTTCAAATCTCACTCCAAAAAAAATTAACATAATAAAGCTTTGGCAGTTGGGTTCTCCAGCCAATATCCATTCCCTTCTTCATACTCAAATCTGCTTAGTTATGTTGGAGATCCAATATACATTCAATTCCCCTGAAACTCAAATAAGTGTAATTATTCTGGATTTTGAAGAAAATAATGCATATTAATGTTCAAAAAGTCTTGTTTCTTTACTCTGCTTGGATTTTTACTCTACTTTTCCTTCAATCTTGCACTCTATGTTTTGCACGTGAAGAATTTCAAGAACGCCGCCCCTCAATCAGCTTCAGAGAACATGATAACAAGGTACTTTTGTTAAAAGCCAAGCTTCATATTTTTAAGATATATATGGAAGGTTTACATTGCTCCATTCCCACGTGGAGCCGAAGATTCACTATTTTTCGGCTTTGGGATATGATGGAATAAAGCAAATTGGCTTTCTAAACTGTATGCGCTTCTTGCAATTGTGAAGTAGCAGTTGTTCAATGCAACTTTCGGCGCTCATCATGGGTCATCTAGAAACAACCGCTCTATGTTTTAAACATAGGGGTCAGACTGCGTACATCCGACCCCCCTTACCCCGCAATGGGCGGGAGCCATTGAGGCATTGGGGTTATGTTGTTGTTGTATATGGAAGGTTTACATATCTCATTGATTAGTAATGTAATTGTGTGATGGTTTCTCACTGTTCTTTTCTCTAAACTCTCTATGTCCTAATTTGTCATGCCTTGTTTTTCGTCCGTCACTATTTATCATTAATAGGAAGCATTATGCAATAGACACATTTTTTTACAAATGTTTCATTAATCACAATTTGGTTTTCATGGTCTTTAGTGTGCATCTTTTATCAAAATATTTAGCTTATAATTGGGGAATACATGCATTCTTTTTCTCATGTTTTCATTTATGGTATTATTAATTTCTCTCTCATCTCTGAAATATCTTGACCACACATTTATGCTATGTTTGGTTCAAAGATTTTGAAAGGAAAAGAAAAGAAAATGATTTTCGCTCGTTTTCCTCACCAAAATGAGAGGAATTTGGTTTTTCCTCTTCTTTGTACATTTTGCTTTCTCATCTTCTTTTTCTTCCACTTTTCTTTTCTTTTCCTCTCTAACCAAACATGAAAAATTATTTTCCCTCTCATTTTGTTTTCTTTTCCCTTTGAAATTCCTTGAACCAAACATAGTGTTAATCACTTTAATTTTTTACCTGCCTGGGCACAAAAAATATTGGAAGGGAGAGAGTGGTAAAAAATACTCAGTAAAAAAAATGGTTTGTGCACTTGTAAAGGTGGAAGCTGGCAGGGCAATTGACATTGCAATTCATGGGATTATGTTATGGGCTTCAATGGGATTGTTGTTGCCTGCTGGAATACTTGCAATTAGACTGTCCACATTAATGGAAGAATGTGATAGTAAAAAAAAGCCTAGAGTCACACTCTTCTATGTCCATGCCATTCTTCAGGTACGTACATTGTTTTAATTACGCAGTAATTTGCATAATTTTTATTCTACATGGGTTAAAACCATGCAATTATAACTTATTTCTCCTGTTTAAATGGAAAAAAAATTTCAGATTAATTAACATATACTTCCTCCGTCCCAAAACAGCTTTATCCATTTAACTTTCATGAAGTCTAAAAAAAGTGTTGAAAAGTAAAAAGCGTATGGTTATATTTTCTTTTGATAATAGAGAAATCTTGTGAGCCAGATGTTCGTTATTAAAAAATGAAATAAAGTAAATGGGAAATGCTTTTTTTGGGACATCCAGCCAAAAAGGGGAAATGTATAAATTTTTTTTGGACAGATGGAGTATTCATTACATTTTATTTCAATGTGATTTATTGGATTAACATTTTAATTACACTCTGACCAGTTACTTGGAAAAAATTTCAAAAGGTGGTTTCAGTGGTAGTAGCAACTGCAGGGGCAGTATTATCCATCAAAAGCTTTGAAAATAGATTCAACAACATTCATCAAAGGATAGGTTTAGCACTTCATATTGCTATTTATGTCCAATTTGGAATGGGTTTTTTTCGGCCTAAGAGGTAATTAAGGTGACTCCTCCACTTTTTTTTTGCTATGGAATATTTTTCTCTAACCCCGAATTATTTTGTACCAAATATCGTAATTGTACAATTAATCTGAACATCCAATAAGAAAGTGGACAAATTCTTCTTGTACCCAATTATTTACACTCCTTTACTGTGGTTCAGAATGCATCTCTCTTCTACACAAATTCCAACCACACATTTTTTTTACTTTTCAACATTTTTCTTACCTGAAGTCAAACCGTAAAATTTCATTTTGGAACGGATGGAGTATAATTTGTGAAAAGCCAGCAAATATAAGACCAAACAAGTTTCGATAAGAAAAGAATGTTAAAAACGTGAAGTTTATGCAGAGACGACAAGATAATATTTTGAAGATGGGTGATATTTGTGTAGGGGGAGAAAGTGGAGGAGTGTGTGGTACTTTTTCCATTGGCTACTTGGGACAACACTAAGTTTGGCAGGGGTAATCAACACCTACACAGGGCTAAGGGCCTACCATGAGAAGACATCAAAGAGCATAAGCCTTTGGGTCATGATTTTCACAGCTCAAGTATCATTTATGGGGTTTTTCTATCTTTTTCAAGACAAATGGGAGTACATTAAAAAGCAAGGAGATATGGTTGTTGGCAATGAACCCAATGCTACAGCTGTAGTGGCCACAACAACAACAACAGCAATATGTGAAGTAGTGGTTCATGCTGCTGAGACATACAGAAGGAGCAATGCACTTGGGACTTATTTTTCAAGAAGCAAAGCACTCAAGAAACTATTTCAGCAAACATCATGATGATGATGATGGGTTGTTTAATAAAACACTTGTTGAGTTGTGTTGTTTTTTTACTTTGTCTAAATAATTGGTCCACCTTATGATTCATTTATATTTTCCGTGTCACTAGCGGCTAGTTTATCACTTGAGTCACCATGATTTATCCCTCTACTATCCTGTTGGGCTAGGGTGTGGGGGCGTTAGGGGTGGGAGATTCCACCTTTTCGCACAATTGTATTTTGCGTGGCACTGAACAGTAAATGAGTGTTAATTTTGTCCCTTTTATTAAATGCGACAGACAATGATTTTTCATTGAATGACTGTTTGTGTGCGATTTACGGATAATGATTTACGTCTATAGTGTCAACTTTGATGTCATTCTCCGAGTTATTTTGATGCATATTTTGAAAAAAGGTTTAGACTAAAGTGAAATTTGATTTCATTTAACGTAGGCAACGTTGTTCATGAAAACGTGGCCCATTAGTCAATAATAAGTTATGTTAATTCAGATCATAAAGCATTGGTCCAATAGATCAAAGCCCACTGAAAAAGAAAAAGAGTTGCATGTGATAAATAGGCCAACTCAACCATTCAATGATTGGGCTAAGCAAATGGACTCGATCAGAAATCAGGACAATGATTAGATCATTGGCTTAATGGTTTTAATACACATATTCCTTCAAAGTAAATTTTTATTTTATCATATGATAAATCAAAATGTACAAATAAATAAAAGTTTTCTTGACTTTTGAATAGTGAAAAGTAATTTTTTTGGATGCAAGAAGTATGATAAAAGGAAAACGAATCTTTTTACAAATACTCTGAGACTAGTTTTCTACCCCGTGCTTTGCACTGGCTTGAGTTGTAGGCAAGTGTTTAATGTTTGTGAAATGAATTAGTGGTAGAATTATCTGTAATGCATTCTAATCCAATCATGTGAGCAAACTATTAGTAACATAGAATCATAATGAGTTGGACACATGTTGCTTGGTTATGGACTTATCATGTGTATATGGTGCAAGTCACTCGTAGCAAAATGATTGGTGAAAACGTGTGATTGATACCCCTATCACTACAAATGGGTTGTTTTCCAGGTATGAATTGTTTTGAGGCCCCGTTTGGTACACAGAATTCAAATTATGGAATTGAAATTGAGGGCTTCAATTTCAATTCTGATGTTTGGTAGCACAAAAATTATGTGGATTTGGAATTGATAGTGCAAGAAATGAATTGGAATTGGCAGAATTCAATTCTATGAAATTGAATCTCATGAAATTTCAATTCCAATTCAATTCTAATTTCATCAATTCCTTATACCAAACAGACCCTGAGAGAAAACTGTGTGAATTTTAAAATATCTATTAGGTCGGGTTTTTTTGGGGGGGGGGGGTTCGTCATGCCAAAATTTTTTTCATAAGGTTGGCTTTTGTTGTTCAGTTGATGATATTTTGTGAGCTTTAAGTTTTGAGATAGGAAAAATACAAATAAAATGTCAAACTAACTGTTAGTAATTCTTATATTTCTCAGTATACAAACCCCAAAGTCACTTTTACAAATTTGGCCAAAGTCACTTTTGTCATTCTCCCAAAAAAATACCACCATTAAATGTTATAGAGTATGTCAGAATTACATTTGCTGTAGATTTTGGTCCCTCGTGTGTGGCTATCATCAACCTTATTTATAATCCTGCATCTCCCAAATGTGGTAGGTGTAAAACCTTACNTCACTCATACAGTACACGGAGTACAACCTGCAATGATCTTTAAAAGCAAACTTAAATAGTATGTGTAAATGTTATATACAAGTTTGCAGCATATAAATACCTTGAACCCTATGACTTCTGCATTATGCAATCCCATCCTGGCCATGATTAAAACCCAGTAAACCCATTATAAGTCAATCCCGACCTTATGGGTGAGTGCTTATACCACATGGTAACATGAGGAAATAATCCTTTATTCGCAAGAGTAAAATACTGAACACAACTTCCAAGTAAGACAACTTTTTATGCTTTGAATATGAAAATGAAATCAAAGCAGGATAGTATTTGGGAAGTTTAAGATTTAATAGCTTTGGAAATGCCACACACTGGAGAACGCCCCTCTAGATATTTTGGGAGTACGGTATTTATTGTATATGCATTAGTTACTCTAATTATTGAATTTTTAAAAAGGATAATGAATTTTACTGGGATCATGAGGACATAGTGGTTCTATAACCAATATGCCTATTGATTATGGTACTTTAAATGGCTTATTACTCCCATCAAATTGGCTCCTTCGCTTATAAACATCATTGACATATTAACACTTTTTATACAGTAGTAATTTTTCCATGCTCTAACACAGAATGTGTGTTGTAAGAATTTGGGGTAGCATTGACTTTTAAACTGCAAATTTCAAAAGCAACAATGAGAGGGGAAATTTCACCAACGGCAAATTTCAAGAGCAACAAATTTCCCTACCCAAATAATGTTAATTCACTCCCTAACCATTTTCATACCTACCCCACTTTTGATATTAAATCACTCTAAAATCCATACAACTCATGTCTATATTTATATTCATTTTGGTCTGTGTGTAGTCACTCTCCTCAGAACCATATGTTTACCTTAATTTGGTTCTAATTTTGACCCAGCCCAAAGCAGGGTTTTAACTCAAAAATACAACAAATTAACCCGTAAAACAAACAGAAATCAAATGTGAGTAAGAAGCTAAGGTTACCACAATCTTCGTATAGGCGTCTGAGAGCATGAGTGGAACAACAGGTGGGAATGCTACCACTGAGGAGGACGCCATTGATGTCAAAAACAATGTGAAACAATGACAATACACTGCTAAAACACAACAATTTAACACAGAATCGTGATCCTTAACTGCCATAACATAAACAAAATGGATGTTACATTGGAACATGCTGAAGCCAATTAATTTGAAGAACCTTAAATCTCAAGAGAGTAATTTCAAAACTTCCGACCTATTATTAGCTGAGCAAATTTTAGAGGTATTTTTTTATTAAAAGTTTATTGAAAGTAAGAAAGAAAGCATATTATAAGAGGAGATAACCAAACCAAAACCCCTCTCGAGGACCAAACGCCAATGTTGTAAACCAATTAACATAAAGACTAACTAAGGATTAAACCGCAACAACCTAAATATGAAACAAAACCTACTGTCCTCAACAAAAAAAATTGTCTGTAGAGAAGAGAACATCCAAAATACATTACCATTGAGCAGACAGAGTTACATATATCTAGCAGACCTAATCCTTCCCTTATGAACAACCATAACTTGAATCTAGAGTTGTAGCTGGGCTCATACTCACCTAAATATAGAGCTCAGAGCCTATCATCAATCCAAACCTGCTCACAACATAACTTGTGCATGATGTTGCAATCACTGAGATAATACAAGATCAGTCTGTGATAAAAAATAGTAAAATGTCACCCAAATTGCCAAGAAGTGCCACAATAGCAGATTCTTTTATACGTAAACTAAACCTGAATAAAGAACCCATTGAAGAAATGATCAAAATACCCTAAATTAGACTTCCCAGTGTATGCAAGTAGAGTCAAAGTCAATCCCATAAACAATCTTTATTTAGAGGTCATTTAGTATTTGGAAAAATCATTATTAAATTATAAGATATGAAGTGCATATCTTGCTTTTTCTTTTTTATGGTATGGCCTTCTTTTGGTAATTAATTCCTTGTTAGGTCGGTAATGTAAAAATATTTGCTTTGGTTGTATAGGATGAGCAGAAGTTGGGCGAGGTAATAGATTTCACATGTATTACCTTTTATATGTGCCTTGTACTTGTAGTCTGGTACATGAGCATGGGTAACCAAATTTGATATCTTGCCAATAGAAATCTGCATGGGCTCCATATATTAGGTGTGTTCCACAACCTGTAGAGATATACGACAACTTACGGATGGCAACAACGACATCATATATACCCATGGAAACTACTGGATGGGTGAAAAAAATATGGAAAAACCAATTTTTAGCAGCTAAGATAAAATCTTTTGTAAAATCTTTTGGTATAGTGGAAGAGGTCCAAGAGAGAATCGTTTTAGAAAAGAGACGGTTGGCCCGACCTGGGGGTAAGTACACTGCAATGGAGGTAATTAAAATCCACGTTGCTGTGTTCGTAAACCTCATGGTAGGAAATTAGGACCACGTCAACAATAAAGTCTATGTCACCTGCCTTGTCAGTCTCCACGTGGCAGCCCCACAGCTAATGAACTCTACTTTATATATATATAATGATAATGATATAATGATAATGATTTGGTAGTGTTTCAAAACATTAAAGAGTAATGATGATCTAAACTTATAACTTAATAAATCAGAAGATGAAAATAAATCAGTAAAAGAACAAAAATATAAATCTCAAAGATCAACTTCTTTGCATTTGAATTCAGAAGAAGTGCATGGTTTTAAAACAAAAAAAGCACCTGAAGAAGCTACTTGGCATAGTTGGAGACACTCTTGGAGACCAGAACAACCATGTCCTTGATGGTTCCAGTAGTAGACTTGCCAAGAATCCGAAGTCAGGTCCAACACGTATACAAACTTTTCTATTCCTGCAATTATGAAAAATGTATGTCACAAAATTATAAATGTGAAAATAATTATTGAACTAACGACGTTTGACTTGTGCTAATTTTTTTTAATAACTATGTTAAAATATGCTGAAATTCTCTTGCGGGAAACACTTCTCAACCATCCACGATCTTTGGCATCCGTTGGCATGCCACCTATATTCTTATGAGCCCTTGATTTGTAGAATCTACATAGTTAAATTTTAGTTTCTAACTCAGTGTATCATCTATGAATAGACATGCGCGATTGATAATATATCATTAATAGTGAAGTGCCAATGGTAATTTGCTTTATAACAATGTCTCGTCAACAATTCTCGTAATAGTTTAGGCCAAGACATAAAACTTGGTTGAAAGAACCTCCTTCTGTAATTTGACAATCTTCAAAGAAAATATGAAATTCCGTAAGGGCCATGGACATTGGACAATGATATCTGCGTAAACCTAGGCCTTTAAGAACTAATATGCATTTTCAGCTTATGCACTATTTGAAGTTACAGTCTAGGTTTCTCAGCCATATTCCTTATTATGCTCCTAAAAGTGTAAAGTAGACAAAATAAGTGTAAAGTAGATTTAGATACTGATCGAACAAAAAATAATGAGGGGCACTATCTCCTTATGTCAATCACAATTTTCTTTGTAACACAGTTGTAAATATAAGTATAATACTCATTTCTAATAGGTATGTCACCATTAGTTATCATTTAATCATTCAAAAGGTATGCCACTTTAATGTATTGAGGTATTAAATTTTAAGATCATAAGTAGCATCACTAAAACATCATAATCTTACAATGTAACATGTTTGTAAAACAAAGGGAGCATTTCAGTTTTCTTTGCTAAGTTCCAAGCCAAAACTAAACTGTAGAGTAAGATAGAGTAACAACATTAAAGGTACACAAACGGCAAACTACAGCTGGCAAAAGCTGAATAGAATTGAATGCAAGATGCCTTCAACGTGGAAAATGAAATTAGTTATTGAAGTGGAGAAGAAAAAGTGAACTTCTTTAAAATAATGATAATACAATAAAGAAGAATAGGTCTTTACCAGAAAAGGTAGTGTCACCATAAAGAACATTAACAATGATAATGAAATGAATTAAACTAATTTCAAAAGGTAAATGAAAGAAAGAAAAGTTTTGAGATAATGAAAATGGGAAAGGATAATGAAATTAGAAATGTGTTAAATAAGATGAGAGAGATTGGAGTGCCGCCTGAAAATTGAAATCAATTGCTCGGAGAGAGAGATCTCACTAAGTAAGAAATTAAAGAAATTTAAAAAATTAATGATCTACCTGCTCAGTTATGCAAAAAGAATTGATCATTGTATCATGCATGGAAAAAACCTCTAAATCATACATTTACCTCTACCTCTGAGTACATGAGAAAGATCCAGTTCTGACCTCTGATTGGAGGTTACCATCTGAATCGCATGTCACATTGGTGGTGGCTACGGCTATATTATATCCAAACATGGAGATTAACATTAAGCTTGTTCAGTTTATCACCACGGTAGAGGGGCTAAGTACAAATATACTCGAGTTTTTTAAACGATAAAGGGATTAAAATGAAAATTTAATTTATATAAATTTCATAAGGGGTGAAGTAGCAAATGAGATCACACTGAGAATAAGTGTATAACTCAACATCACGAAAACATCATACTCAGTAACTCTCAAACCCACTATTCAAACAATTTCTCACCCCTCACTAAGTAAACAATTTCAAAAAAATTAAAAAAAAATCAATGGTCTACCTGCTCAATTATGCAAAAAAAATTGATCATAGTATCATACATGGCAAAAAACATGTAAACGATACATTTACCTCTGCCTTTAAGTCCATGAGAAAGATCTAGCTCTGGCTTCTGATCGGAGGTTACCACTGAACCACACGTTACATTGGAAGCCACGCTGGCATCAAATACTCTCCACCTGAGGCCTTTTTTATCTTTCCATATTAAACCAGCAAGTGCTTTGAGTAGTAAGAAATGTGCTTGTTAGTTCTTATTCTTGGAGTAGGGCAACAGGGAGAGTAATAAATCGTAATTAAAGATCAGTAAAATCACTAAAGAATGCATCTTTTGAGCCATTCCAATTCCAAAGAGAGAAGTAGATAACAATGGTCCATAAAAAGATTGTACCAGAGGAGTAAATATAACAAACACCTTGTGTGCATGCTCAAACATCATACTTTTCACAATTAAAGAAAAAAATAGGAAAAAATAAATTTACCGTCAAACAGGGAAAAAAACTGTAAGAATTGGAAGATGGGATAAAAAATAAATTTACCGTTAAATTGCCACCAATTAGCTGGGTTGAGGCTGCCATGAATGAGGCTGCTAAGCTTTCTGAAGAGAAGGTAACTGAGGAAGAGAAGTCGTGGGTCAAAGAGGGAGTAACACGGCGAGGTCGCTGCAGGATAACAGTATGCGTCTAATAGAGATGGCCATTATTGAAACTTGATCTTAAGACATAGTTCTCTTTATTATCATATTTTGCTTTCTAGGGTTTAGAGAATCATTCTTTTTCATACCTGCAAATTAACAGAGGAAGATAAAGCCATCTTGCACTGCTCCATAATTTGTTCGCAGGCCAATTTCTACACTAATAATTATCCTTGGACAGCACTTGGGCATCTCCCATTGATTTTTGCAAATCTATTTCTCTGTTACAGAAGGTGGAAAGATCAGAAACGGTTTTCACCTTTACCTCAAGGATCATGCTACACTTACACCAAAAAATATATCTCATTTGTACACCACAGGCTTGCACAAACATTTCGATGGTTTGCACCGACATAAGTGTTGGTGCGTTAATAAATATTCACACGGACACAAATGTTGGTGTGTTTAACAAAAATTAGTTTAACACCAACACAAAGTGTTAATGCAAAACTGCGGGGTACAAATTGGGGTACAAATCTTGAGGTACACATATCATAATCCTTACCTCAAAGCCATCATATAAGCACATCCGTCGTTGCAGAGAACAGATAAGAAAAAACTCCAAGTGCACCACGTCACATGCCACATGGCGAGCCCACAACTGAAAAACTCTCCTTTACACACACACATATATAGGATAATGAACATTTATAATTTATTTATGTCTTTTGAGATTCTGGTGTGAAATATAAAGTAAGAGTTGTGATATCACAAACATGGTGCATGATAAAACAAAATATAATAGGAGCAACAAATGTTTGACTCTTAATCTTGGTGCTTTCAAATGGAAGGTCATAGGTTGGGAGGTAATAAATCACGTTATTTTAAAAGGTTGAGAATATATATATATATATATATATATATATATATATATATATACTAGCATTGCTCCGTGCGATGCACGGATTCAAGTGCCCGATTAAATTTTAGTGTTATATACTATTATATATGAACTTTTCTCATGTATTTGTTTTATGTGTCTTTGTTTTGTGTTGTTCAAAGTGTAGCATGCTGATTTTGAGTTTGTAAGTTTGTAATGTATTGGTGATACTTTATCAATAAATTCAATTTATTACCATGTGTATTAATTTAAACATATGTAATTGTAGCATATAATTGTATTTTTACGCATACTTTTTACTCTAAAAATACATATGTGGTGTCAAAGACTTCAAAAACCATCCTTAATATGTTTAATGAAATAAACAAAATCACTTTGGCGAAATAACAAGAAGTCTATGATAAGACTTTGTGTTTTAAGAATAGAGCATAGGCTTTGCACCAAACATCATCGATGAAGCTAAACTGATATTCATAGTAATATCGGTTAATTTGAGCACAAAGCATGGGAAAATGTAACTAATGGAAGTTTGGGAAATATGTGCATATTAAATATCTTGCTCCCACTCCTTATAGCCTTTCTTATTTTGATTTTTTTGGTAAAATAGAGACACTCTTTTACCATAAATTTTGAGAAAAGTATATTTAACTATAAAATAAATTCAATATATTTTGGTTCGTATTAGGATATAGTTTTGAACTTTTGATACATCAAATTGTTATATCATTTGTTTACTTAGATTATGTTTAGTTTATGGTAAAAAAAGTGTCACTGCTTGACCAAAAAACTCAAAACAAGAAAGGTTTTAAGATCTGAGGGATGATTTTAAACAAGAAAGACAGTACTATACTATCAATTATCTTGTTCCAACTTTTGTAGATATTTCAAAAATATTTTAAAAAGGAAACAATAGTGTTAAATATTGTATATTAGTTTGAATAACATCGGAAACTCAGGTAAGAGAATGGATTAAATTATAACAATTAATATAAAGCATAAAAATATTATCTTTGCTACCTTTTTAGTTTTGTCTAAGCCCAAAAATTGTTAAATATGTGGGTAAAAGGTATATCATATTACAAATTAATATTACGGAGCTTCTTCTTGTAAAAAAATAGGGCATGTAGAAAGCTAAACATATTAGTGTTGGATAAATTGGTTGAATAATGTTAGTTTTTCGAGAAGCAATATGAGATTTTGAAATACCAAAAAATTTAATAACACGATATTGTTAAAGGTCACCGACAATACAAGTAATAAATTGGTATAATCTTGAAGCTAGAAATGAAGGAAGTAAAATAAGTACAACATGTAAATCACATAAAGTTATGAGTCATCAAAAGGTGTATAATGAATTTTGTGAAATTCTTCAAATGACCTTACAAATTTTTAAATTGCTACTGATGATATTTTGTTTGAAGAGATTAAGACGAGACTCAAATTTGAATTAGGTACAGGTATAATTTTCGGAGAATGACTAAAGTAAAACTAAAACATTGAAAATATATTAAAATAAGACTTCCATTTTTTTATTCTCAAATTAGGACTTACATTACCAAACATGGTTATGTACATTACCAAAAAATATAGTAATGTGCACATGTATAGTGCCACATTACCACAGTGCAAAATCCTATTTCGGGGAAAAAATATCAAAATCCTATTTTGTTACTTTTCTATATGTTATAGTCCTATTTAGGGTGATTTCTATAAAATTTTATCATAGTTTCATATCATTTTAATATCTCTCTACTATGAAGTAAATACAAAAGGTCAACAGTCGATACATAGGTGAAAGTAGTAAAAGACAAAATCAAATCATCATCAATTGTGTCCTCTAATAGCATTCATTGCATCGGAACAGGTGCTTGGTGGGTCTGGAAAATGTAATTAGATAGTACTCCCTCCGTCCCCCTAAGATATTCTCATTTTGACTTTTGGTGGTTTTTAAGGAGAGTTGAAAAAAGGTGAAAATTTACCATAATACCCTTAATGAAAAATGGGTGGAGTGTATTAAATGAGGTGTGTGAGGTGTAATAAATAAAGTAAGTGAGGGTAGTTGTGGTATTTTAATTGTTAAAAAATGAAATGAGAAGATCTATTGTGGACAAAGAAAAAGAGCTATTGAGAAGATCTATGAGGGACGGAGGGAGTATATGGGAGTTAATTTAGAATTATTAGCTTTTATTATAATAAATATACTTTGTAATTGTGGCATATTGGGAGTTAATTCTGAATTATAATAATAATCATCGTGTTCGCTTGTTGTTTTAGAATTTTCATTTAAATTTTTAAAATAATTGTTTACCTCCATCCTTTCTTTTTCTTTTTTTAAATATTAGTCAACATTGGATAAAAAAAATAGATATAAAAAATAATGAAAAAATCTCTAGATAATAGTAAAAAAAGTCACCAAAATAGAATTCTTTACTCTTTTAAGAACAAAGTAGAAGTTCACACTGCCATTTATTATAATCTTATTATGTGAGCTCAAACTATTACAAATTAAAAAAAAGGGAAGAAGCATATAAATATATATTCTCATTTATTTAGTCTATGGCATGGTCTTCACAGAGGGAACAACACAGATGCATCGTCTTTGTGCCATAAGGGCGAGGGTTTCACAAAGCTCACAAAAGTGAAGATGCCAAAACGGTGGTGGTGAACCACCAGAGCATTGGGCTGGAAGAATGCAACCAAATTTGTCTGAACAACTGTTCTTGCACGGGATAACTATACAAAATTAATAAAACAAATAAGATAATGAATATATAAATTAACCTGAAACTTGTAAAATACTCCCTCCGTCCCAGAAAACCTTTCTCCTTTCTTTTTTCATCCATTCCAAAAAACACTTCTCATTTATATTAAAAAGTCACTTTTACCCCTTACTTTTTCATACCCTACCTATCACATCATACCTTTTTACTAATAATCTATCCATCAAATCATACTTTTACCCATCACATCAAAGGACATTTTTGGAAATTCAATACCAAAATACATTCCCCTTAAATATCTCCCCAAAACCAAAACTCCCATGTTTTCTGGGACGGAGGGAGTATAAAATAAAAGTATATGGAGGGGTGTGTTTTAACATTTTACACATTATACTGGGTATTAATGTACAACTTCTTATTTTTAGGAGAAATTATATAGAATAATCCCAAATTTACCCATTCTTTCAAAAAATAAGTAATAATACATTAATGCTATGTATAGTGCGTGAAATGTTAGAACCCTCCACACCTTATATTTTTATTTTATTTCTTACCAGTTTCAGATTAATTTCGTTGATTACCTTATATTATATTGATTACCTTATTTATTTCATCAATTTTGTATGGTTTAAGTTATTTTTCTCATTTTCGTTTTTTGTATATCTATTTTTTTATTTTTTATAAGGTAAGACTAATCTTTTAAAAAAGAAAGGGAAATGGATTTTGAAAATTTCAAAAAGAAAAATTAAAAAATAAAAATTCATCAAAAATAATCACAGCTTCAGTTTGTTACGCAAAAATATTGTTTCGTTAACCCGCTGTTAGCAACTTAATTCTAACCCAAAACTCGCAAATTTAAATGGAGTTGATACTATTATGCATCACAGTAAAATATGAGATTTTTTAATGATCGGATAAAGTTGAGATTACTTTGAATAATTTTTCGAATGATAATAAGAATACTCTAAAATTGTGGTGTATAGGCTATAAAGCATCTTCGTAATTGTGAATTAGAGAATGAAGGGATTAAATATAACTAACGGTGTTAAGGGTTTTTTGGGGTATATATTGCAAGGTACAAGTTTTAAAGCTAATGGTACATGTTTTATGGATGGAAAAGGTGCATAATATTAAGGGGTACCTAGGTACCCCTCTCTCACATTTATATAATTTATATAACAAGAGAAGATATATATATATATATATATATATATATATATATATATATATATATATATATATCATTGTATATGAGCCAAGATTCGAACCTTAGCGGATATCACATTGTAAATGAGTCAATTTTTCAATAATACTTCAAAAACAAAAAAAATTCAATAAAACTCTAGTTTTTTGTTTTGGCTCTTTGTCTTTAAAACAATGTTTTGTTTGCCATTAGGTTCGACATGTAAAGTTTTATCGCTTTAAAAATGTTACTCCGTACATGAAAGCAACTTTAAAAATTAGTGTTTTCAAAATTACTCACGTAATTTTGAAAATGATAATCACAAATAATATTTATTAGGAAAATCTAAATCTCCGCCGCACAATTTTAATTTTTTAAAATTAATGAAAAAAAACATCTGGGTTATCAAATCCATAGTTTGAACTTAATGATTGAACTGATTCAACCGATTCGAATTGAAAACCGGTGAATTTAGTGTCACACCTACTCGTTTGAATCAAAGCCCAATGACCAAGTCATACTCGTCACCCTAGTTCAACTACTCAGCATAACGTCGACGATTTGTGCTTTTGGATCCTATTATTCTGGGAATTACTCTTAAATCTCTATTTTAATCCCAATATTTGAACTCCAACCTTTAACTCCATTCTTACATATATTTGACACTGTTCCGTGTCGTTAATATCTGTAAGAGTGGGGTTAAAGGTTGAGATTAAAATGTTGGGATCAATGAAGCATAACCCAAAAAAGTAATAGGCCAATTCCTTCATGCCATGTGGGCTTCTCTTTCATTTTTTTATGCAGAAAATTACCATAATTAATTTTTTTGAAATAAATTTACAAATTCTTTTATAGAAAAAAAATCAATTAATGTTTTTATATTTATTAGTAAAATTTAATTTTATTTTCCGTCAATTTTTAATAATCCCTTCATCTTAAAATTAATTTCCCATTTTGACTTTTACAGTCAAACGTTTTAAACTTTGACTGTGTATTACGGAAAAAATATATTGAATTTTCATATAAATTTATTATTAATAGATTGATTTTGAAACATAGTTTTGAAATATATTATTTTTATGATATATATTCATATAAAAATGGAGATAATAATGGTCAAACTGTTGCATTGGAAACCGTGAAAAGTCAAATAATAAGTTAACTTATGGACGGGAGGATTAATAAAATAAGAGGAATGCTAGGGATAAAACCAATTGGTGTGGTCCATATGTAATCTTCACCCTCCATTTTTTTTGTATGATGGGGATGGAGTGGGGTAGAACAAGTGTACCCATAGTTTTAAAAATTGGACTGGACCGGGAATCGGTGAACCACTCATCAAACCGGTCTGGTCAGGGCAATTAGACCAGCTTTGGCATTAACCAGCAGAAACTGGTTAAAACCGGCCGGTTTTTGGCCGGAACTGGTTTTTTTAATTTTTTGCAAACTTTTAAAAATACTTTTAAAAATATAGAGAGTTTTTTAACTAAAATTCAAAACACATTGATATAATTGAGATGAAGTGCATATCACACAAATATTTTGTTTATATATATTTTAAATACTAGGTAAAATGTTTCATAAAAATGAAATCACTTTTTATTTATAAGCATTTTAAAATATGTGATGACACAACTCAGGTAAATTATAAATTTAGTCAAACATCAATTATTTATTTATAAATAGAGGAATTTTTTTTTGTTCACTCATATATTAGTTTTTTAATTCAATGCCAAAACGTTATATATATATATATATATATATATATATATATATATATATATATATATATATATATATATATATATATATATATATATATATA